AGTGTTTATTTTATAATGCGTATTTACCTATTGTCTGCTTATTTTATTGTAGTGAACACAAATGATAATAACAAAAACAAACACATAATCGTAGTCACACAACATTTTTCATTGAGCAATATTGGACGCCATGTTATACTGCTTTTTTATTAAACGTTTTAAATGCACACTTTTACATCTATTCTAATGCAATGTAAGCATTTCTGACAGCTCTTTTTGTTCCCTCTGCTTGCAGGTTTGGTTTCAGAACCGACGCGCCAAATGGAAGAAGCGCAAGAAGACCACCAACGTGTTTCGCGCTCCGGGCACTTTGCTGCCTACACACCACGGCCTACCGCAGTTCCCCTCCGCCATGGGCGACAGCCTGTGCTCCTTTCACGCTAATGACACCCGCTGGGCGGCGGCCGGGATGCCGGGAGTCTCACAGCTGCAGTTACCGCCCTCCCTAGGCCGACAACAAGCCATGGCACAGTCTCTATCCCAGTGCAGCCTGGGCGCCGGACCGCCACACAACTCCATGAGCCTGTCCAACATGTCCTCCAACGGTTCCGGCCTCCAGTCCCACCTCTACCAACCCACCTTCCCCGGTATGGTGCCCGCGTCGCTCTCTGGTCCCACCAACGTGACCGGCTCGCCTCAGCTGTGTAGCTCCCCGGACACTGACGTCTGGAGAGGGACGAGCATCGCGTCCCTGCGCCGCAAAGCGCTCGAGCACACAGTGTCCATGAGTTTCACCTAATACTTTGACGTGGTTCACCTCCTGTTTCTCATCCACCCATCATTACTGGCCCAGTGACGCACACGGAAGTCAGAGGATACGACTGTCCTCTAGTAAACAGGAACTGTGCGCACCTGATGGAAATAAAACCTAAAGCATCATAGCCTGAAAAAAAAGACATTTATTTATTACGTCCTGTTTCTTTTTTATTTATTAGCACTTTCTTTTTGCAAATTCAAAATGTCAGCAACCTGGACAGTAAACAATCTGCACATTTGAAATGTATTCGTTTGCATTTGAGAAACAAGGCGAGAGACGGTGCACTCGTTTTTATTGTTATTATCATCATTATTATTATGGAAGAAATCGTTCAAATTTTAGGACTGTTTTATGAATCGGTGGAGGAGAGAAAGGAAAATATCTCAAAAAGAATTCAGATTCTTGACTGCATGAGCCGACCAAGGTAAACAACAACACAACAACGGGGAAATGTCATTTAAGCGAGAAGTATGAATTTGTTATATGCTGTTATATAGGATGTTTTGTGTAGATAAAGCATTCTTAACTTGTTCCCATTCAGCCAGTTTGTGATATGTTCTAAGTTCATGTATGTGCTTATACCAATATAAATTTCTTAAATGTTTGATCTTCTTAACGGCTGTTTTGTTTTCTGAACATGTTTATAACGATTGAATGTAAATTAACGAATAAATTCATTTTCAATATGTCATTATTTGACACCTCGCATCTTCTGTTATTCTTGGGGAAACATAGATCTTGACTGGTAATACTTGTATTACTATTATATGCATATATATATATATATATATATATATGTGTGTGTGTGTGTGTGTGTGTTTAACAAACCCCTAATATCCATTCATAACATTTTTATAAAAAAAATTCACATGTATTTATAATCATTTTAATGTACACGAACTACAGATCTGCATTATATAATATCTGCTAATGGCTTATTAGCTATTATTGAAAATGATTATTAAGTGTTATCAAATCAAGTCATTATCTCTCCCAACACTACATTGTTCTTCTCGTTTGGAGATGTTGCAGGGGTTGGCATTTACTCGCTCTCTGATTGGCTCTCGGGCTCTTGGCATCATGACCTCATAGAAGAGAAATCAGGGCTCAGCCAAATACAATCAAGAGCGCGCCATCTCTGACTGTCTTCCAGACCACTGCGATAATAATACAATCATGTATATATGGCACAATGACTGCTGGATGAAATCAGAATTCAAACATCCATAACGCAAAAATACAAATAAAATTAAGAGATTTAAAAAAAAAAATGATCGAGACACTTTTTTTGTCTTTATTGAGCTACGTAGGCTATATGAACACTTAAATATATATGTAGCTTAATAATAATAATAATTCCAAATAACAGGTCATCATACCTGATGATGATAATAATAATAATAATTATTATTATTATGTAAGAGAAGGGATTGATTTAATTCCCCAAGACGCATATTTATGCTGATGTATATTGGAATTATCTGCATGAATTTAATTAATTAAATTTGGTTATTAAATCATAATGCAAGAACGCTGTTACTCGCGTTTATAGCTATGAGAAGATGTCAGATCTTCAGTTATACATTGTGGCCCAAATTAGCCTATATGAGGTTAAAAGCGATGACATGAGGCATTGCATATTATGGGCTATTATCAACACTGCCTGAGCTCTGCAATCATCCAGTTATTGTTTAAAAATCAAGAATCATATTTATAAAACGGATATGGTTGTACTGCTTGTTTGAACGTGTAATAGTGAGGAGGCAGGTAGTATTTGTGAGCGCGCGCGTCTAAAAGAGAGATCAGGTGATATGTACGGATGTGCTCCTTGCAAACAGATGCGAGATGATATTACATAAATATTATAATTTGTCTCAGTACCTGCCGGGTTAATTAGTTTGTGGAAATGCGAAGGCCGTTCCTCGTTAGCTAATTTGTCACACGCTGACGAGAGAGGCGAACGTTGACCCTCCACAATGCATTGCGCGAGAGAGCCGAGGGGAGCCTGCTTACCTCCAATCCATCTCCCGCAAATAAATGAAATCAGTCAATAAAGCATCGGAGGGTGAATATAGCTCTCTCTGTCTAAGTTATGAATGAGAACTCATTAATTTTCCAGGCCTAAAATGTGTGCGCGCTTGTGTGAACGTATGTGTAGCTATGTGTGTGTGTGTGTGTGTGTGAGAGAGAGAGAGACTACAGGCATGCAGTAATGAGAGAGCGAGTATAAAGCTGAGGTTATAGGGTTACATGCTAGAATGAAAACATTAAGACATCATTAAAAACATGCAGCAAATATTCTCCATAACAGATTACACATATGCTTGCATGGAAGACATGTAGGCTAAGTCTTCTTTCAGAAGGTTGCAGAAGTCTTGCCACTAAAAAATCACCTAAAATTTGCAGTGCTGTGTGGTTTCCTTAAATACAATATATTACGTTCAGCAAATCACATATCCAAACAGGAAAACAATATAAAAACTGGAATAGCCCATACTCTTCCCCTTTCTGAATTATTCCGTAAGTATAGGTACTATGCATATACAGGGGCGGCGCCAGAGAATTTTGAACGCAGGTGCTGAGGGGGTGCTAGATCATTGACAGGGAGCTGGGCAATTCAGGGCTCCAGACTCATTCTTCCCACTGGTCGCTCTTTTGCGACTAACTTTCTCAGTTGGTTGCACAAAAAAAACAAAAGTGTTGCATTTATAATTTTGTTCAGTGTAGTTATATGGAAACAAAAAGTGGTTAACATTCAACTCGTTCTTTTTCATCAGTAGTATTATTTGTGATTTGAATTTTGTGAATGAGAGTTCCTCTTTTGCTATGTTATAAGCTGGGCTTCGGATGCTTTCACTTTCGATTTCGCGATCTTGTCACGTTTTACAAGAAAACATAGGCTAATTGGCTGTTTTGCTTACATCTATACACCTTTCACTTTTTAAGACTAAAACAAAAGATGGATTCATTGTTATTTTTAATTAAAAAGCACAACAACAATAAAACAGTAACATATAATGACAAACTAGTTTACAAAACGTTTATTAACAAAAACGAATAAGATGAGGCATGGCATACACCACATGCTGTATTATATACCGACTAA